GGGTCCGCAGGTAGGGCAGCGCCGTCGGGCGGCCCCGGCTGCCGTCCCGGTCCCCGCTCATTGGCATGCAGCCCCTGTCGCTGCCTGCCGCCAAGCCGCATCCCAGCCCGCTGGAAGCCGGCAGCCGAGCCGGAGCCAATCGCATATTCATGAGGAGGGGGAAATCCAGAGCTGCACTCCCAGAGGACCGAGGATCACTTAATTTTTCTTTTCTTTTTTTTTTTTTTTTTAAATCCAACCTTCCCCCTCTCTCTGCCCGCCTTTTAGCAACGCGCTAACGGGGGCTCCCCGCCGCTCTCCTCCGCAGCTCCCACTGCACCCTAAAAACCACGGCCGCCGGCGCCAGGAGCAGAGACCGAAGCAGCCAACACAGGGACCACGGCAGCCACAACAGAGGAGGGAGGCACGCCAGCCCGCCAGCCAGGGACAGGAAACACAGCAGGGGCTCCTACCTTACAATCCTCAGGACACGATTTCACCGAGTACTCATCCGACTGTAAATATTTCTGGAGCATAACCTCAAACTCTTCGTATTTCTCCTGAGCGTGCTGGTCGTAGCGCTGGTAAGCCTGGACGCACTGGCTGCAGGAGCCTCCCCCCCTCAGCACCACATCCAGACTGCAGTTCAAAGTGTCCGGATTGGACAACCCGGCGAACAACTCCCAAAGTGTGTAGGAATTACAAAAGGAAAGGTAAAAATCCGTCAGGTCCCAGTCGGGCGCCGGGCTCTGCCCCGCGCCCCGCGGCCCCCCCCGCCGCCGGCACACCGCCTCCGCGTCCCCCACGCTGAAGCACTGCCCGGACGAGGAGCTCGGGGGAGGGCACGTCTCCAGGGGCCTGGCGGTGGAGTTCCCCAAGAAGGCAGCCTCGCCGTGCCGGGGCTCGGTGCCGTTGGTGCGGCTGCCGCGGCTGCCACCGCCGCTGCTGCCGGGGGAGGGCGGGAGGGAGGGCGAGGGGGGGGCGAGGAGCCGGGGCGCGGGGGGCGCCGGCTCCCCCATGCCCGCCAGCAGCTCCGGCTCCGCGGGCTCCGGCTTCTCGGGCGGCGGAGGCTGCTCCTTCTCTCCGGTCCCCGTGAATTTGGCCTCGGCGCAGAACCACAAGTGATCAGAGAGCAGGACTGTGAAAAACAAGAGCGATGCCAGGGACAGTCGCCATTTCTGAGCCCTCTCTGAATCCGCGAAGGGTTTCTCGTTCTCCCGGGGTGCGAACCAGATTTTTAAGCCGTCATCATACTGCCGACTGCACATCCAAGCACCCCTGGTCATATTTTGGGAACGCACAGCCCTGGCCGACTCCACCGTGAGGGCTCCTTTGCCAGTGTCACCACAATATGCATTGACTTAAAAGATTGGGGGGATTTTCTTGCCTGCCTTCCCTTCTCTCGCTCGCTCGTTTGCTCCCTCTTCCACTCTCCCCCTCTCTCTCTTTCTCCCTCTTCTTTCTTTCTTTCTTCTTTTTCTTCCTCTTGAGATACTGTTCGGTTTCGCCGGTGGCTCTGCTTGGGTCTCACCACACGAAGCAGCCCCAGTCCATCCAACGCGGAGTGCCGTGGAGAAGATAAGAGCAATAACGCAGAGAGAGGAGGAGGGAGAGGAGATGGTGGTGGTAGTGGTGATAGTTGGTGGTGGCGGGGCTGCGCGGCTGGTCCTTTCCCCTCTCACCCAGGCATGGTCAGATCGCAGCTCCCCATCTCCCTCCTGAGAAAAGCCCGCTGCCCCCGGACAGCTGCATGCCGCGTCCCCCGCTGCCGACAGACGGCTCCGGGAGGGCTCCTCACCTCCTCTTCCTCCCTGCCGCCGCCGCTGCTCCTCTTCCTCAGCCCCGAGCCGCGGCACAGATGCCCGCACCGCTGTCTCCGTCTCCTCTTTCTCCTCTCCCCCCTCCGCTCTAACTGGAGAGACGCTGCTGCAGGGCTCCCGGAGCGCTGCCGAGGATGCTGAAGAGGAGGAGGAGGAAGAGGAAGAGGAGGAGGAGGAGGCTGCCGGGGCCGCCGCCGCTGCTGGTGACAATGGGCTGCGGCTGCCGCCGCTGCTGCCGCCGGGCGCGGTGTCCCCGGGCGCACGGGGCGGAACTGCCTGGCTGGGGGCCCCCGATGGGCACAGGCATCTTGGGCCCCTGGGCTAAGTTGCCGCCATCTTCGTCCTGGAGAAACACTTTTTTGGGGGGAGCTCTGCCTTTTGCGTCATCTCCTCCCGCGCCGAGATCTCTCTATCCTGGCGCATTGGCAGCAGCAGCAACTCTGCCTCCTCCTGCCTGAGGAGGAGGAGGAGGTGGGAGAGGCACTGGGGACCACATGGCCCTTCCAAAGGGCCTCCTCGGTGCAACTCTTTCCACTCGTCTCACTTGAAGGGACTGCTCGTTACCACCCTCCATCCCTCTCTCATTCAGGGTCTCTCCTTCCCTTCGTGGCCCTGAAACACCATGTCCACGCAGGATGGTGGCTGAAGAGGTCTGTCGTCGTGTCTATCCTTGGCATAGCAAATCACAAATGGCATAGGAAACTCCAGGGCTGGATCCTGGCAGGTTTTGGCCCCACAGTAAAATACCTGAACACAGCTGCCTGCCCTTCCGTCAGTGAGCCGGAAAGCAAAATGCCCATAAACCCCAAACTGTTCCCCCAAGAGAAGTTTTGCAAAACCCTGGTCCAGCACCGGAGCTGGGTAAAGGCTGCCAGTCGTTGTGTTTCACCTTTTAGATGTCACTGCCTGGAGATAGAGACAGAGAGAGCAGGCTTAACCCTCCCATTAGGATGATGAATAGCTGATGATCTCCACTGAGACCCACAGCAGAGATCCCACCACCTGCAGGGCCCAACCAGCAGGGTCTCTTGCTTAAACAAACACGCTGTTTGGTCACTCTTAGGTTACGTTCACCTTGCTTGCTGACACACCTTAATGTAACAGAAAAACTTGCACCCTGCACAAGATGAGAGAAGGTGCCAGCTAGCGGTTGAACATTATCAGGTGAAGACCTGGAGTTACAAGGTCTTCCTCTTGAGATATCAGGTATGCTATCTGGCCATAGCATAGCCAAGATGTATATTTTAATTTCTCCACTGGATTGGGAAAAGGTTTAGAGGCCATACGTTTCCTTGTTCCAGAGGCTTGCTCCATTCTGGAGTAAGGGGCCTTGAACCTTGACCTCAAGGCCCTCGAACAAGGTGCACAATGTACCCCAAAAGGTGGCTTTTCCCCATTATTTGGTTAAAGAAAGCTTTATCCCTCAACGAACATGGCCATGGTCTATACGCTGGTATAGATCCCTGACAACTTAATTCAGCTTTGAAAGGTGTAGTGTGAAGAAATCTGAAACTAAACAGTATTAGAGGAGGACAAAACTTACACCTTTTCTGACTGCAGCAGTTGTTCACTGAGGGGTGAGCTTACCAAGGAATGTGCTGGAATTTCTGTCACTCTGAGTAATAAATCAAGGCTAGATGCCTTTCAAAAGGAGATGGTATACCTCAAACAGAAGACGCAGACCCGAGGGAGGAATTGCTGAGTGAAGTTCTATGCCCTGTGTTATACTGGGGGTCAAAGCTCATTATCATAATGGTCTCATTTGGCCTTAAAAGATCTATGAGTCAAATTCTACACTGAGCAGAAGTTATCTGTGGATTTTATTTTGATAGACTATTTAAAGACACAGAAATAAGTGCTAATATTATAAGGAAAAGTCCACAGTACTCAAATCAGAATGCATCTTTGCAATTCTCAGTCAATCAGCTCACACCATCTGCTAATGGTACATTATTAATTTTGGTCTTCAAGATTTGATTGCAGTGATTTGACATACTGGGCCCTGTACTGTATCTGCATTTTTGTAATGCTTTCTGTTCTTGGACAAGACCATGACCGAGCTTTTAAAAGGGAATCAGAACAATTTAACTTCTCTAATATGTAGTGTATATTTATTTAATTTTGTTTTTCTTGTTTGGCACTGGATTTTGTGGTGGAATAGAGGGACAGATACAGCAATACAGGACAAAGAAAACAAGCCCAACTGGGATAAGCAACAGGTTCCTGATATCAGGTGTGAGATTTTCAGAACGTTCCCTATTAAGACATGTCACTGGCTGTGTAGTTATTCTCTGTTTGACAGCAAAACTCAGAGTGAAGGAAGTCGGTTTTGGAGTCCCCACTTGGAAAATAGGCTCGATTTATTATTTTTAAAATGTTGTTTTCCTGTTGTCCTGTTGGGGAAATGAGAAGGTAATAGGCAATTTTTCAGTCCACAGGGAAATTAGAAATGTTCTTTGTCTCCATAGTGGAATTTTAAGAAATGGTAATGAAAAAATGCTGGTGTCCAGACCTCATCTGAAACTTAATATTTAAGAATGAATTCCTAAGTCTGTGCTCCTCTGTTTACACTTGTCTAGGATCAAAGCAAACAAAGTCAATCTGCTAGGACTTTTTAAGATATACTTAGCTTCTCCACAAAATCCATTTTCACATTATACAATATTTTCACACGTTTCCCAACTTTTGTCTGGAAAAATGGAGTGAGAGTTCTTTTTCAACACCTAGCAACAAACTGTGAGAAGACTTTCAGCATTCCCAAAATGAGCACATCCTTCCTTTTCCAGTGACAGTTTTCTGTAACAGAGAATGTGTCATGCAGAACTGTTGTTTCTCTTGTTATGTTTCCCCCAAAGCCCCATTCCCTCTCCACCTAGCACGGTGAATAACTTACAACGTTACTTGCAGCAGCTGGTTCCTTATGGATCTGAACAGATGCAGTTCAGTTCTCTGGTGCCCCTTAGTGTTAGGTCTTGGAGCTCAAGGGAAAAAAAATAAGGCTATAAAATAATGTCCAAAAATCATGACGCTGATTACATGCGGTGGGATAAGGAATCTGGAGTATATACTGTAGCTTCTTTCTCTCAAGGCTTCTTCAAAATTTTATTATCACAAATCTGATCTAAATAACAGAATTTTATTTAAATTAGGTTAATGAATTATATGAATGGGAAGAAAAGGGACAAACTTTCCTCAAAATTATCATTACAGAAATATGTCCCCATATTCATCATTTATCCTGAATAACTCCAGTGGTGCAAAATACTGGCTTCCTTTTGAAATGACACTTTTTATTGGGAATATTTATTACTCATGTTCCAAAGCCTGGCACGCGTGAGGAACTCATGGAAAGTCTGTGTCCCTAGCTGGTGGAGTCACCAGATGTTTCGCAGATGGATCTCCTTAAAGTAATGTAGTTCATTGTCAGTTCCGCCATACAGTGCTTCGATCAATACAATCAGACCTGATGTTCTTTAATTCTTTGACTCATAATATGTAAGATAGCTAATTTATCAAGCACTGAGGACAGTCTAACAGAATGAGCATGCACAACATTCAACTTGAAACTATTGCTTAACCTACATAACGTGTTTTCTGTCTACGTGAAAGTACTTTAGTTTACCAAGCAGAAATAATTCTTGACATAACACATTAATGATAGTAAACACTCATCAGAATAAAAGGCTTTACTGTTTCTTACTTTACTTGGGTTTTTGTCTATTGTCATGCTCACAGTAATTTTCTGCATTAATCTCTTGCTTTTCTTCAATTTTTTGATACAAAATTGTAAGGTCTGAAGAGCTGTATATAGCTCTTTCAGATTATTTTAACAGGTTTGAGAGCCGTGTCTTGCCTTTGTAGTGTATGTTCTTTATATAAGAAAAAAATGTATTTTCTAATTGCTAAGCAGCACTTCTTTTTGTAAAATCCTACAGCAGGCTATTTTTAAAATAGTAGATTTCATTTTATTTTTGGGTTGACTGGTTCTACTGATAGGAGCAATTGTTGCAACAATTATTAATAGAAATACTCAGTTAAACCTTTGCATTGAAGTGTCATCCAGCACTTTCAATACAAATCAAACATTATCAGGCCCTTTACCAGTTCCTCTTATATTGATTTTTTTGTACAGGTTAAACAATTTGTATTCAATGGGAACATCTTTATGTTCTTTGTAGACAAAATGATGTGTCAAATATGTGCTTTAGCATCCTTAAAGTTGTATAATTTTTGTTTTATTCTGACTTCTTACAATAAATTGTGGGTATTATTTTACACATTACCTGGGAAGGGAGTTAGAAATTTAATTATCTGAGTCTATTTGCTAAGAATAATATCCATGGTGGTTGTAAGACACAAGCAAGTAAAGAACACTGAAGAATTCGTTTTATTTCCCATCCCGTTCCTAGTGTTTTAGTTTGCCATTCAGTATTTTTTGGAAAACTGAATTATTGTGAGAAAGCTTCAGGTATCTGGGACTGATTGCTGCCAAGCAATG